TTTTCTTTTTTAATTTTTTCCTATTATGTTAAAAAATATTAGCCTATTTTTAACATATCCTCGTAACAATTATATTCTTAGACAGAAAGAAATTACAAGAACAATAAGAACAATACATACTTATAAATAAAGTAATTTTACATACATTTAATGGATATTTGTTAATTTTTTGTAGTTTTTTTTATGTTATGAAGTTACATAATTCTTCAAACGTTGATAATTTTTACTAATTTAAGAGATTTTTACATAAAATTTAATCGAAAACACCCTTTTATGTCGTCAAATCTTAGCACTAATTATACTTTAATTCATAAATTTAGCTTTAATACATACAAAAACTTAAGCTTTAATNAAATAAAAAATGTACAGTTGTAATATATATAGCCTATATATTTATAAATATATATATTTATAAAAATAAAAAGCATAAATCTGTCATTGAACTTAAGATTTAGATTTAGGCTATTTTTTCACGAGAATTGCAATTGGTTAAACGTAAATTTATCTAAACGAAGAAAAACAATTATATTTAGGTTTATATTTTATTTATATATATATGAAAATATAATATATATATGAGTAAAACTATCTTTATAGAGTTTTAAACAGAATCGCTTGTCTAGAAAATGAAAAAGAAATATAAAAAAGAGCCATAATTGTGCATATCCTTCATCTCTTATTCGAGAACCATTAGCAATAAGTAATCCTTTGTTTAGATCATCTTTTAAGGAAAGGAGACTTAGAAATCATTTCATCTAAGTCAAAAAAAAAAAGATCAGAGCAACATTATAAAAAGAAAACAATTAGGCACAAGTATCCAATCTCATTAAAACACGCCTACATCCGGGTCTGAGCTTTTCAGATTGCAGTAGATAGTACTCAGCCAATCAATCACTAGAACGTAGGCGGAACAAACGACCGGAGAGCCTCTACAGCATCCTTCCCCCTTATCGTGATGTGGTAATTGTCGTATCGGTGAAGCAACCAACCATTCAGGACATCAGTCATGCATTAAACATTAATTTAGCATAAAAAGCTAATAAAAGTATGTCGTCATTGTAGCTTATATTAAGTATATGGATGAATTTTAATGTTCATTAGTTTACCTATTTCTTAATGTTAATATTAACATGAATTAGAAATGTAAAATTAGAAATTAATCATACTCAAATCCCTTTGGACTTTATGATGGATGAGCGATTACATGTCCAACTAATTTTAACATTATATATTAAAATTTTCTCCGAAACTACATAATTATAAATTAAAGAATATAAATAAATATTTTTAAATGTTTAAAAGTTTGTAATTAAATAAATAATTTAAAAATTAATATGCAAATTATTAGTTAATTAATTAAGTATTTTACGAAGTAAATTTTGTTAATTTGAGGAAATTTTTATTTTGAAGAAAAAAAAAACAGCGAATTATTGGTTTTGAAAAGTTTTTTTGATGTTTTTTTTATGTTTTTTTTGATGTTTTTAAATAGAAAAGAATTAAAATGAAATGTGAAGTAGTCGCACAGTCAGTCTTCATCTACGCCGAAACAAAAGAAGTAAATAAATAAAAAAAAAGTGATCGCATCAAGACAAAGTTGCCAAATCTGGTCCGGAGGCAAAGCTCTTTTCATTTGTAGCGAGCAAGAAGCAAGTCAGCGCAATTCTACTAGTAAATTGGTTAAGTGAAAAACTAGACTAGGCTACGTTAGACTTTAGGCAATCGAGGAAAGTTATCTTCGATTCAATTCTTGGTTCCTACATCACGCACTCACGAAAAACGCCACCGAAAAACCGTCGCTCCGTAACAAGGAAATAGAAGATGTAACATCCACCGTCCTGTAAGATGACGTCTTCCATCATTCAAAGTGCACATCAAACATCGAGCATCTTGCGAGAGGTTCTTTTTGGACCATCAGCTTGATTGGTCAATCAGTCTGACAGCCAGTGTAGCTGTAGGGGGTAAGCAACGCCAGGTCGTAAACTCCCCTCTTCTCTTACTAGATAGCTGTTTTAATCAGGTAATAGTTTGTATAGGATTGTTGTATGTGCGTTAGGTGGATAGAGGAACCGGTGTTGTAACGGCCGGCTACGGACACTCGTCTATAGCAACCCCTAAAGTGCTACAGCACACTTAATGGAGGTTCAGTCACTTAAGTAGCATTTGTCGGAAACATATTGTAGTCGGTCATGCACAGTGGCCGACTAATAACACACTATCATCGATTGTAAGGATACGTCTCCGGCGACAGAGTGGCTCACGTACACTGCTATCCGTAGACTTTACAGCAGGACTAACTCAATTTATTACTGGCTACCGTCTGGCCGTACGCCTGCAGTGGTTATCAATTATGCACCTAGCTGGCCTCTTGTTGAGATGAAGCTGTCCTAAGCCGAATGCTATTGTGAGTGGAGCAAGAGAGAACACGCACATCTACTGAAATATTTAAACCATACTCGGAAGAGGTACACTCCAGAAGAGCGACGTGAGTTGTGCTGCTGAGGGATGTTGCAACATCGTTCGGTGGCTCCCCCAGGTGGGACCGATACGAAAGTCTGAATATACTGACATCGCAGATTATAGTCCCTAAGCAGAACTAGCGTCGACGTAAAGCAATGGCGTTTATTTATCGAGACGCGATCGTCAAAGTTGACTCCATACGTCAAAACTGGTGCGTGTGTGGGATAATGGTTTGTACTTGATATGTTGGTAGGCAGTAGAGTTAACATTTAGAACGACCAGAGAGCAGTTTGCAGTCAAAACACGTTACCGAATGTTGTAAACGATACCGCTGCGCATTGCGAATTGAGTTGACAGCAATATTGCGTGCTTTGCTATGAAAAAATTAGAGCCAACTCTCTTAGATATATGACCAGATGGATGACTCGCAATTGTTAACTAAATTGTTTTCTGATAGAATATTTCTTGCACAACTTTACTCGCTTTCTATTGATTTAAACCATCGGATAAGACACATTTAAGACCAAACTTGCAATTAGTAACGTCTAAACTCACGTTTTAACTCGTTTTTTCGTTATAAAATCAAAATCTTCTTCTTTCTGAAGGTTCGAGCTTTCCGATACAAAATTCTATTAAAAATATACAAACATTAAACAAGTTTGCATTATACTTTTATATATTTAGATTAGTTTATATGTATAGTTTCTTCCATATCATTATCAGTACATACGCTTCCTATACATCAATTAAAAATATTAAATTTTCTTGGACTTCGCGTTAACAGACAACTTACTTCTAAGTTAAAATCATTCATCAAGAATATATAGCCTATATTTGTTAGTTTAGTTTTATTGATTAGAATTTAATAAATGTTATTTTTACTATTGTAGTTATAAATAAATCTTTAATATTCTTATAATCTAAAAGGATTAAAGTTACAAATTTATAATTTTCTATAAGACTTACAGCATGTTTACTTTAAATAAATAAGTTCTAGATTTGTCTATTTGAAAAAGATGAAAATTGCTTTTTGCTTAATTTAAAATACAGAATTTTAACCGTTAATAAATTATTAACATTAAAAAATATATTTGTTTTTTCATAATAATTTGATTATTTTGTAATAAATTCAAATCACATTCCTTTTTTAAAAACTTGGAAAATGTTATCTACAAAATAACTGATTAAAGCCTATATTTCCGAATATAAAAACTTGATAATAATTAAATAAAAAATGTACAGTTGTAATATATATAGCCTATATATTTATAAATATATATATTTATAAAAATAAAAAGCATAAATCTGTCATTGAACTTAAGATTTAGATTTAGGCTATTTTTTCACGAGAATTGCAATTGGTTAAACGTAAATTTATCTAAACGAAGAAAAACAATTATATTTAGGTTTATATTTTATTTATATATATATGAAAATATAATATATATATGAGTAAAACTATCTTTATAGAGTTTTAAACAGAATCGCTTGTCTAGAAAATGAAAAAGAAATATAAAAAAGAGCCATAATTGTGCATATCCTTCATCTCTTATTCGAGAACCATTAGCAATAAGTAATCCTTTGTTTAGATCATCTTTTAAGGAAAGGAGACTTAGAAATCATTTCATCTAAGTCAAAAAAAAAAGATCAGAGCAACATTATAAAAAGAAAACAATTAGGCACAAGTATCCAATCTCATTAAAACACGCCTACATCCGGGTCTGAGCTTTTCAGATTGCAGTAGATAGTACTCAGCCAATCAATCACTAGAACGTAGGCGGAACAAACGACCGGAGAGCCTCTACAGCATCCTTCCCCCTTATCGTGATGTGGTAATTGTCGTATCGGTGAAGCAACCAACCATTCAGGACATCACTGTGCATTACCACTTAGCCTATGCTTTTAAAATGATTCCTTGTATGCACACACCTCATGACAATGACTGCAATTACACTTGTGGTCCTTGAACGACTAATGCATCTCACGTGGTGCATTTTGTATGGATCGAAATTATTATAATTATGTTGATAGTTGCATTCCTGATCCTTAGTGGCTCGACCCGAGTTGGAGTGTCTTAATGTAGGGTTATTTAGGCTCCGTTTGTATGTTCTTGATGGCTTTTTAAACTAAACTGAACATTTTTCTTCCAAGAAAATCGAACTGCTTTTCTTTTATATTTAACCTATAAATATTTATGAATTCTTTTCGTTTAAAGAAAATTATGGATTTTTTTTTCTTTCTCTCTTTAGAAGATGGTTTAACTCTTTTGGCATTAAAATTACTCTTCTTAAAATAAACTTTCTTTCTTTTACACAAAAACATTTTATTATCTACAAATTGAATTTTATTTTTAGAATTATTATGCTTAATATTTATAAAATTTTTATTATATACGCCTGTAATTTCGGTTGCTTTAAAAATAAATTCATCTTCAGTAAGGAATTCCTTACGTTTAACTTATTCACTAAGCATTTACTCGGAAAATAGACCTGAAAAATTGAAAATAAGGTTATATTAGTTTAATAATTTCACTTACTATTTATATATTAAAAAACAAAACTTTTTAAGTGTTTTATAGATCTGTAAATATCGGTATGAAATGATAATTCTTGCGCCATTCTTCTACATTAATAAACAGTTTAGACCTGTAAATATATGATTTTAAGATATTTATACGATTTTTAAAAATATAGTTAATAAATAAAAATATTTTTACAAACATATATCACTTAAAGATATCTTAAAATCTTTAAAAATTAGGAAAGAGTGCAAATTGACTTTGGATATCCCTTGTAGTTTTAGTGGTGCTGGAATTGCACCTGCTTTAACTATAAAGTCGTGACATATACAAGAAAGAAATTAATACAGAATAATGATGAATGATTTTATGTAACATCTTAGCCAGTTTAAGAAGAAAAATTAAAAGATTATTGTGTATAAGAAAAAGAAATATATGTATTTTTCCGAATAAAAATATTCTATCCTATTACAAAATGCACCCGGTTCAAGCGGATGGATGGGTATGGCCTATATCTGTCAATATAAAGCAGATTTGTCTGCTTTAAAGGTGGAAACGCGACCTCGGAAACTCCCTTTTTAAATTTTCAAACCCTGATACATTAACAAATAGGCTCTGAGTCCCGGACACATTTAATGGAATCAATTCTTGTGAATCTAATGCGATTTTTGCGATTATAGCCTATAGGACCACAATAGAAGGTCTATAAATGTGATGGGACATGTAACATTAGAAAATGGACTAAGCTGAGATAGAACATTTTTATAAATTTTATAAATCACCTATTTGATTGACTATTCTTGTATTTTAACATTATTGTGTTTTGCTCTGTATTTATCTTAAAGAAGAAAAAACAGTTTTATTTATTTATTTTATTTTAAAGTGAATTGCAATAGATTATAAAAGCAGGTAATTGTATTCTATTGTAGTTTTAAAAAGCAAAAGAAAAGGATTCAAATTTTAAAAATAATAATTTATAATTATCAAAATTTTATTTTTAATATGATCTAACAGAGAACGAAACTTATCTCTAACGCCAAAGATTACCAAATAGATGAATAGTATTGTGAAATCATCATTTCTAAACCATTCTCAGGGTCTGGCCTGAGGATACATTTGAGGCAGTGGCGCCTAAGTTCGTAGATTAGAACAGTATCATGGAAGCGGTGACTTGGAGACTTATCTGTTTGATAGACGGTTGGGATGTGCTGAGTACTTTTTAATGTATTTGCCACACCTTTAGACGACTTAAGGGGAATGCCTAAAGCTTAACTTAAATGACTGTTTAGTACTAACATCATCAATGGGCTATATCTATCTCTTCGACGAATGGTCTATATTTAAAAGTATTTAAGGTTCTTGTTCTGATAATAGTGCTATTTAGTATTCTTACCTCTAAATGTAGTTAATTTAATGCTTTTCTTAGAATAAATAATAAACATAAGTTAATATTTTTAAGGTTATTGAGCTCTCTCTTTTTTGGGTAAACAAAATTTTGTCCAAATATTATCATTCGTTTATTAATATAAAATCATTCGAGTTATTAAACGAAGTTTTCTCAACAAGAAAATATCAAAATTTCTTTAAAATATATGATTAAAGACGTATTATGAAGTGTTAAATCGACACGTGAAATGTTATCGAGTATTTATTGCCTGTCTAATTAATTGAATGACCCAAAAATCTGTAAAATACCTTCAGGCAGAATCAAATGTAGTTTTTAGATTAAATAACCTTGAAGTAAGTAGGGCCTAAATGGTTTCTTGAAGTGGACATGGAACCTATCTGTCACTTTTAGTGCTTTCCAGACAAATAATCTATAGCAGTAGATATATTCTATTATATCGATTACTTTAAATTATATATTAGATATATTTTTATTTCTGTTAAAATTTTGAAAATTTAATCTTCTAACAAGTTTCGATTTTCGAGATTTATTAATATTAGTAGGCANGCCCGGAGACAAAAGATAAAATTACGATGGGATGTAGTCTAACTAATTGAAAGTTGTTTGTTTTTATGGAAGTGCATGTAAAGCTTATATGAAATTTGTGTTTAATTTTATTAATAAGTCTTTTTTTGATTCTTACTTATTTGATACGCTAATATATTTAAATATATTTATGTAATTAACTGGAATTCTAGCATTAGAATTTACGAGTGTCGAATTTTTCAACGTTTCCCTATTGTTAATTATTAATTTTTTAAATTCTAAAATTGTATAATCTAATTATTAAGTTTAAATGATAGTCTAAAATTAATTAATTCTAATTTTAGACTATCGAAATCATTCAATTATGTTTTTATTGAATCAATTGAGATTGTCAACCTGATTCAATCATTTTAAAGAATTAAAATTATCTCATAATAGTAATAACGTATAAATATTAACATTTGAGCAGATAAAAGTTAAATTCAAAATAATAAAGTACTAAAATTTAATTTTCAAAGANATTAATTGAATGACCCAAAAATCTGTAAAATACCTTCAGGCAGAATCAAATGTAGTTTTTAGATTAAATAACCTTGAAGTAAGTAGGGCCTAAATGGTTTCTTGAAGTGGACATGGAACCTATCTGTCACTTTTAGTGCTTTCCAGACAAATAATCTATAGCAGTAGATATATTCTATTATATCGATTACTTTAAATTATATATTAGATATATTTTTATTTCTGTTAAAATTTTGAAAATTTAATCTTCTAACAAGTTTCGATTTTCGAGATTTATTAATATTAGTAGGCACTAAACTTGAATTGTTAGATGCATTATTTATATATAAAACATTATTATTTTATTTTTAAAAAATAAAATTTTTCAATTAGTTTGTAAGCATTTTTTTAAATTAGTAAATCAGTTAATTTAATAAAACCCTATTTAAAAGAAAATAGTAGAATTTTTTTTGAATAAACTTAATTAAATGTTTTTTATTTGTATTATTTTCGAATATTGATTCACATGAATAATAAATTTTTTATTCACGAAATGTTTTTCATCGTCTTGTGGTAGTAAAATTGATTATAATTATACTATTAATATTTATTAATTTATTATATTGTATTTAATATAAATTTACTTCAATTATTAATTTTTTAAATTCTAAAATTGTATAATCTAATTATTAAGTTTAAATGATAGTCTAAAATTAATTAATTCTAATTTTAGACTATCGAAATCATTCAATTATGTTTTTATTGAATCAATTGAGATTGTCAACCTGATTCAATCATTTTAAAGAATTAAAATTATCTCATAATAGTAATAACGTATAAATATTAACATTTGAGCAGATAAAAGTTAAATTCAAAATAATAAAGTACTAAAATTTAATTTTCAAAGATTATTTTTTTAATATTTTGTCTAAAATACACCTTTAAAAATAAGAATTAAAAAAAAAAAAGATTTAAGAATAAAGAAAAAAAATAATAAGAATTAAAAGCTACAAATCTATCTTCTAGAATCTAATTAAATGTTAACATTTATTTATATTTAGTTTTAATAATAGTTTAATGTTAATTATTTAATATTCTATAAAATATTTTTATAAATAATGAATGATATTTTGAGATTAAATATAAAGTTTTGAATTTACAACTTTCATAAATTTTTAAGTCCTATTGAAAAAAACCAATATTATTATTATTATTAAAATTTTATTAAATAAAAATATAATTTTTATTGAAAAAGAATATAATTTTGTTAGAATTCATTAATAAAAAAAGAAGAAAAAAAATTAGCTTTCTTTGCAAAAATCCAGATTATAGATAGACATATCAGGTATACAGTTTATGTAAAAGTATAGAAAAAATAGCCTCATAAATCACATCTTTTTTCAACCCATCATCAATAAAATTCAAACATATCCTTATAAAATTTTAAAAAATTAAAATAGCAAAAGAGACAATCGAAAAACTATCATTGGCCTGAACATAAAATCCAGAGATATTTTTTTTTTTTTTGGTCAATGTAAAGCTTGATGAGTTTCACTATCGTGATAAATCTGCTTTATTAACTTCAAAGTGCTCGTTTCGTGCCATTATTTATATGGTCATAAGATAAGAGTCTTTGATGAGTACTGTTCTATGTTCATACAAGACATTGGAAAGACCATTAAGTCCATTGTCTGCGTGACGACGGTCCGGATACATTACTTAAAAGGCATTTCACGTTGTAGCAATAGCCTTATATACAGAATATCTATCTACTGTGTAACTAGAATTATGTAAAAATGTTGTCAGTCGAGTTGTCAGTTAAGTGATTGCCATCGGAGGTACCGCAATGGTTAAAGATACGTATCTATAACTCAAACATTATGATGCTCGGAAATCATAGGCCGCATCATTTGCAGCTGAGAAATAATCCATCCCCTCATCACGACTAGCTTTTTCCCTAAGAAGAAACGTTCAATTTTTCTTATTTTATATATGAAACTAAAATAGGTATTATATTATTCTAGGTACTAGATGTAGAAACGTGTAGGACTTTCCATAATAAATCATTCTGGTTTATTTTTTTGATATTTGAAACGAGGAAAAATAGTTTAACTACGGTTGTATGGCTGAAACACTTTTTCTTTTTTTAATTTATAAGAATTGTAACATCGAATTTTAAAGTTTTAAACGTGATTTAAGTTTTTATTTTATTAAATTTTGCTAATTTTAATCGAAAAATAACCATACATTTTCATTATTTCCAGCACTAGATGGAGGCACTTTATCCTCTTGTATGCAGCAGTATTGTTATTTCATGTAATTAACATTTATCTATAAAAAAAAAATATAAATAAATAAATGATTAAACAAGTTTATTCCTTTATATTAATAAAAGATGAAAAGATTACCAAATAGATGAATAGTATTGTGAAATCATCATTTCTAAACCATTCTCAGGGTCTGGCCTGAGGATACATTTGAGGCAGTGGCGCCTAAGTTCNAAACTTTTAACAAACGAATAAGATTTTTGAATTATATTTTAACAATTCCTTATTAAAGGTTACAACATTTATAAAATTTAATTTAATTAAGAGTGACAACCAGTTAATTTAATAAAATATAATTATAAATATTTTTTATAAGTTTAAAAGATAATAATAATGTTTATAATTTCCATAAAATTAAAATTATTTATTATTTTAATCACCGTATAATGTAATATATATCACTTACTCTTTGTTAGTGACTTTGCGGTGTTCAAGGAAAATCTTTTCTGTTTATTTTTATCGATATGTTGAACCTGAAAGAAAATTTAGAAGTGCAGATGTTCATGTTATGCTTGAGGGCTTCATAAAAATACCTAGTTACTTTAACTCTTGATTGTTTCTTTTCCAAGTTATACAACGGTGTATTTATGACATGGCTTGTCCTTAAGATTTATTAAGTCTATGTAGACCGGCCTAAATAAATCATTGGTTGTTACGCATATATACATCATTTTGGATATTCCCTGGAGATAATACTAAACAATAACTCTTTTATTCTGTTATAGGTTCTATTCTAATTCTTTCCATCTCTTCAGAATGTATGCTAAAAATAATAATATTTCTATTAATCATTTAAGATCTTTATAAATAATAGAATTTTTAATTATAATTTTAAAATAAATTCATTTCTAATGACTAATTCCTTTGAATTTTCTTCGTCTAAAGGTAGAAATTTTTGAGATTTTGTATAGTACAGAAGCATTTAACCCGTAACTAAAAACATTAATTATAATAAAAAATAATTTATTTTACAACTATTTAATTAATGTTAAAAATTTGTTGTTATTATTATTTTTTTCTACTTTTAAACAGGTCTCTTTCTAGGAAACGTCGCCATTTATTTTAAAAAGTCTCCTGTTAAGTAAATTAATAAATCAGAAGAATGTGAAGAGCTATCTTCCGATGCACATTTTCGTTGATGCATACAGTTCTTTAAGAAAAGCAGAGATATAATATTCTAAAGGTAACATAACTTCTCCTTGTTACGTCTCACGTATATAACATACACCTGGCCACGTGCTATCGCCTGTGTGTGGCCAGCCTCGGGTAGAAGGATCCATAACAAACCACTGTTTGCTCATCTGCAAAGCACATAATTTCAATGATTTGTTATAACAAGAATCTTTGCAATGTTCCATCCGCATTGAAAGACTTTATTCATGACTTAATGAGAATTTAAATTAAGTACTAACTTCTTTACAACAGAATTTTGCCCGGAGACAAAAGATAAAATTACGATGGGATGTAGTCTAACTAATTGAAAGTTGTTTGTTTTTATGGAAGTGCATGTAAAGCTTATATGAAATTTGTGTTTAATTTTATTAATAAGTCTTTTTTTGATTCTTACTTATTTGATACGCTAATATATTTATGTAATTAACTGGAATTCTAGCATTAGAATTTACGAGTGTCGAATTTTTCAACGTTTCCCTATTGTTAATTATTAATTTTTTTCTTTAATTAATTTATTTCTTTTTATAATTTATTGCAAAACTATACATTTAAAACATATAGTTTAAACATTTGTTTTTACTTTAATAATGTAGTAAATTACTATTTTTTGTTAATGTCGCTATTCTAAGATAAACGCTAAATTTTTAAATTAATAAACGTTAAAAAATGATAAAACTTTTTCTAGAACATTAGATTATAACTTAAATTTTAAAAGCTGAAGCTATTCTTTGTTCTTTATCGAGATAAATTAATACATAAGTAAACCTATTAACGTTAAAGAAAATTTAAAGCTACTTAAAAACAACCTCGCAATAATTGATAGTAAGGTCCACACAAAAAACATATTTAGTACCTAAGATCAAATTTATTTTAATGTTTTGCCTTAAGTTAGCAAAAGATAAGAAAATTATCTTGTATATATATACATATAAAAAAGCTATCTAATAAGGTCTAGTACATATAAATTCGACTTGTGTATCCCAAATGACTACAAATATGAGCATTTAATACTATTAAATTTTAATAGAGGGACTGAGATGATTACAATTTATAGGTTGTAATTCCCTCTAACAGCGAAAAAAAAAAGCAGTAATGGGCTCCATTTCTAATTTCCACTTTACACACCGGAGTTATTGCTCGATGAAAAAATAGCGATGGCTTCATTTTTTTCCTACTTTTTGCATCTTAATTCCTTCACCTCTTTGGCTTTTCACTTCGCCAGAGACTCGTGTGATTTAAGAGGAACGTTAAAATTTTAGCTTTACTGTTAAAATATTCAGTAATGGATGGTGTATATAAAGGTTTAAACCTAATAGCTTTAGAAGCTGGAAAGAAATGAGTACGCAAGCCATTGTAATGATACTTCCTATTAAAGTAAATATTTTTACTTGCCGAATGAAATATCATTGATGTAGTTTTTAAGAGATGAGCGTTTAAAGTATTTATTTATTTTTTTTATCTCATCTTCGTCTCTTATTTTCTAACAGATCTTTTCAAGGAAAAAAAAAATTGTAAGTTCTTGTATGGTAATTTAAATTGTATGGCATTTTAAAATCTCTAGATTATTATCTAACTGTTTAATGTTTAGACCTATTTAGTTTATTGGATTTTAACATTTTCTTATATTATATTTTTAATTTAGATTTTTATGGTATGTTTCTAATGCTCTCTACTTAATAAGCTTTTAGTTAATTTCTACATTAACTAGCATAAGGGAAAGAGAATGAATTATTTCAATTATGTTAAAGTATGTTGCGTGTGAATTTTAATTATAAGCTTATTAAAGTAGTTTAAAATGTATAAAAAACGTTATTTTATTATTTTAATTTGTAAAAATTATATTAAAATGAAATTAAAAATAAATATATTAATTAAATAATTAAAAAAAATTATTCTTTTTTTTCTTAGGGTTGAGTCTTAAATGTGGAAAGTTAAACTGAAAAGTAAGCTATAAAAAGTATTGAGAGAAAGAAAATGTTAAAATTTTTTATATTTATTAATTTAAATCTAAATCAATTATTTATCTTAATAAAAAATATTTTATTAATAGTTTTTAAACGTAAACGTTAAGTAATTAGATCTATAATTAGTTTAATGGAGTAGGATGTAAAAAATAAACAAAAAAAAGAGAGATAAATTTCATAAAATCTTTTATGATTAGAAAGTGTTTACGGCTTACAATGTAATATAATTGTAAAATATTTTCTTATATTAGTTTAATTTTTTTTAAAAAATCCACATTTCTGAACATTTTCCAGTGTTAAGTTCTACAAGCTTTAAATATAGCTTCTGCATAAGTTATGAATATAACTATTACCTCTGCAGCGTATATAAGTTTATTTATTTGAGGTAGAGTTTATAAATTTATAACTTATATAAACTTATCTTGAAGTTAAAACTTCCATATAAGCCTTTATACTCTATCTCTTGCTTTTCAAGAACGACGCTGAGTGATGAGTAGAAGTATGAAGAGAAGAAGGAGGAGGAAGAGAAAAAAGAATTTTTAATCATATATATTTCAATAATAAAAAATGATTAGGGATTGTAAATCAATGTGAAAATAATGTCATCAAAAGAAGTAAGAAAAAAATACTTGGCAGCACTGCAATTGAAGGAATTAGTTACCCGGATATTGTGGTAATCGTCGAGTTGAGCTTGCGACGGGAGACGAAGTGTATGATGCCATAATAGATCGTGATGTAGCTAGCTAATTAAATATCCTAGATAACAAGTCAGTTGAATGAATGATGGGAACTCATTATAGACTACAGCAAAGCAGTCATTAAAGTGTAAGGAGAATATTGTGTAGGGACACTTGAACATTTAATTATACAGTCACGTACCACAACAAAAACTATCGTATCACCACTCTTTTACACGTGAATTTGAACTTTTATTTCTTTTACTTGAGTTTCTTAAATATATTAATTGTTTTCATACATATAAATTTAATCATTTTAAGTAAATATCTTAAACATTTCAAAGTATATATTCGTTTGTTTAACTTAAATTCGTATGAGTCCGTACAAGTGATTATGAGTTTAATCATGATTTTAAACTAACAAATTGAAAATTTAAATAAATACATAACCTATTTAACTTAGGCCTGTAGAACACGAAAGATAATGTAGTGTACGGTTTAAAAAGATTCACAATTAAAATAATACCGAATAGAACATTAAACATAATAAATTTGCGTCTAAAATAGGCTTACACTAAAATGCATTTAACTTTCTTTACATTTAATGTAAACAAGAGTATTTTTTGAACTAATTTGATTAAAATAAAAAGTATTTTAATCCCTTATAATAAACTTTAAAAACAAAATATTTTATTAAGAAAAGAGGAAATAGATTGAACTTAACAAGTAGTTTTATAGGCTCTCGTTCAAATTATTTAAAAATTTATAATTATAAAGTTCCTTTTAACTTACAGCTTGCAAGGTTACATGTAGTAATTTTAATAGTTTATTTGACGATTTTATATTTAACTTTACGTCAATGTTTAATTTTATTTTAAACAAGAATAGTGGTAATAAATTGCATAGCGATTGTGTGCTAAATTCGTTAATTAAAACATTATAAACTTATAAAGTGAGTTTAAAACAATCTATTACTCTAACGACTTCATATAAAGTTACTTGTATGTGAACGAATAGGAACATTTTAGTTTATACAACTTGAAATATATCTAAATTAACTTTCTATTAATATAATTACACTTTATAGCTTTACATACATAAGCTATATGTATAAGGACTTAATTAACTCGGGTCAGCAGTTTTAATTTCCGTTGTTAAAGCAGTATTTATTTTTATGACTCAGCGAGTAAAATTAAAAATGGCCGTCTTGAAAGAAAACTTTATTCAATTTTACATGTAATAGTCGAGTTAAAAGAAGGTTGTGTCAGGTTGTTTAGCTTTGTAACTGCTCTTTACAGCATCGGCCATTAGATATAGGAGAGTGGTTGAAAATCACTGTTGTAGCTGGTCATAATGGATAAATAGATGTCTATTCTTGACTTTAACATCCGGATCTGAGAATAACTGTAAACATTACCAAGGAATTTTAATGATATTTCGTGTACTTCTAAACAGCCAATGCTGTCATTAACAAAATATTCATTCTTACACTCAGCAGAGCTTCTACTTATCTTTTTAGCTACTGCAGGACTTTCAAGATTATTTTCTTTTTCTTAATGTTATGTAAACACTGTAAGATTATATAGTCACGCTTGTTTGTTCAAACTAAGATCAATTTTTATTTTCCTTGAACGTGATATCGTTTTGTATTGCCTCAAGTTACTTTTTTTCTTCTTAAAGATTTACTAATAGCTTTAAAAAAACAATAACACATTATATATAAATTATTTTTATTAAATTTATTATACAAAAATAATTTTACTATTATTTAATTCTGTTTATGAACTAATTTCATTCTTTAATAGCTTATTTAAAATTAAAGAAATTGAGTTAAGTGGAAAATGAAATAAAACTTTATTTACTTTTATTTTTTTTGCTTAACTTAAGAAAATT